TGGGTCCAGTCGTTCATGTGGACAGCAGTTTGACATGTGCCACCTACCTGAACATTGTTGCAGATCAGGTACACCCCTTCATGGTGACGATATTCCCCGATGGCAGTGGCCTCTTTCAGCAGGACAGCGAATCCTGTCACACTGCACAGGTTGTTCAAGAATGGTTTGAGGAACATGCCAAACAGTTCGGGGTGTTGGACTGGCCTCCAAATTCCCCAGATCTCAATCCGTTAGAGCATCTGTGGGATGTGCTGGAACAAGAAGTCCGATCTGCAGCGGCTCCGCCTCGCAACTTACAGGATTTAAAAGACCTGCTGCTGACGTCTTGGTGCCAAATACCACAGGGTACCTTCAGAGGTCTTGTAGAGTCCATGCCTCAACAGGTCGAAGCTGTCTTGGCAGCACAGGGAGGCCCAACAGAATATTAGGCAGGTGGTCATGTAGCGTCCATAAGAAGTTTCAGTGCTAAAGGAACACCCGCTTGTCCTCTCCTTATGAACACATTTATCAGACTAAACACAGGAGAGGACAGGCATGCAGCGAGTTCGCCACTCAGTTTTATTACACAGGATCCTCTCCAAAGACAACAGATTATTCCCACACAGGAGAGGAACTCTGTCACCGCTCAGAGTGTAGAAAGAGCTTGAGGCATGATGGTTAACCTGTATCAAAAGAATTGCTCACACTAGTAAGAAACAGAGCCAGATTTACTAACAGAGGCGCTAATCACATGCTTTTTGTATGGAAGCCACTGTCCACCAAGTCAGAGAAAAGGACTGAAGCCCAAACTGCAGATTACAGCTCTAAATAGAGCACGTCAGGCTCCCATGACGGCGTTTTAGGGCCACTGTTAATAAAAATAAAAATAGTAGTCTTCGAGAAAAAAGTTGTAATATTTTGAGAAAAGAGTCGTAAATTTTTGAGGGAAAAAAGTCGTACTATTTCATGAAAAAAAAGTCGTAGAATTATGACATTAAAGTGGCATTAATACCAGGAAAGGTCGCAATATTGTGGCCAAAGGCTTTGCAAGAGGAATGCCTTTGTTCAGTGAGGGGCGTTGAGTTGGTGGAGTTATACTTTCATATCGATTTCACTCATAAAGAAACACTCAGTCTCCCTGTCTCTCCTGCACATCAGCACCAGCCTGTTATTAGTTTAGGAAACAGCTGAAACGGCTGAGCAGGAAACTGTGTTTATCTAGAATAAAGAGCCGGACGGACTCGGAGGAAACTGTCTGTCTGTGTTGTTGAAGGAGAATCTCAGGGCAGGGTCGTCTACACGGCAATCGGGGGCTACATCTCCCACCATTCAAAGAGGGCATGAAGTTTCACAGACAGTGAGAACGATGATCAAAATGATCCACAGAGAGACAGGAGTGAGTGGAACTCAATCAGTACAGCAACTGAGACCCCAACGTGTTATGGCAGCCCCCCTACAGTTAGCCCACTTTATCCTCCAAATATTATGACTTTTTTTCTCGAAATATTATGACTTTATTCTCAAAGTCTACTGATTTTATTTTTATTAATAGTGTCCCTAAAATGCCGTTGTAGGCTCCAGTCCACGTGGGCCAAAACACTGCAGACTTCAGCACACTGTCTCATTAAACACACCTGATTCAGCCCATCAGCTAATCAGCAAGGCCTTCGTGAACTGAATTCAGAGTGTGAGATGAAGGTAAACACTAATCTCTGCAGCATTTTGGCCTGGAAGGTCCCCAGATTGACATGCCTGAAATAGAGTGTAATATGTGGTGCATCACCATTGGAAGCACATTCATTAGTGTATAAAGTGTAGACGTGTGAGCTGCGGGATGTGGCCAAAACATTTTTTTTTCCTCTGATTCTGGTTCAAGTTGCAACTCTTTAGATACAAATAATGAACTGTTTTCTCCAGATATTGATTTAACAGGTCAAAATATTGACTAATAAATCAAGTTATTACTCTCTGGGAAAGTGCATGATTACAATACGCCATTATTTTGAGTGAAGAATATTTCAGCCTACTAAATGAACTTTACACTGTTTACCACAGATTCGAAGTGTACTTTTGGTGCTGAGGTGGGGAGCAGGGGGCACTGAATCTATAGCATAAACAAACAACAAAATTCATATTAACTTTTTTTTTAAAAATGAGTGCGTTTACATGCAATAATCCGATCATAATCAGATTTCTGCAATTATCTGATTATTTAAAATGCCATGTAAACAGCACACTCAGATTTCTTAGATCAGAGTAAGGTCTAGAAATCTGATTGAGAAGTCTGGTAAATAGAGCTGGATCCCTTTATATCTGCCATTAGGCAAGTTCTGCAGTTCCAGTAGGAACATCATACCATTGTTTAGACGTGGAGGTAGTAGTTAAGAGGGGTGGCGATGTTTTACTGTTACTGTTCCTGGACAGCTTTGCTATTCTTGAAGGAACCATAACTTCAGTTCTCTATCAGAGAACTCTTGAAGACAGTGCCTGTTCATCTGTCCGTTCTGTGGCAAGACGATAATTCAGAACAGAAAAGCGGTTCTACATCTGAACGACCGAAAAGAAACAAAACAGATGTTTTGGAGTGGCCTTTTCACACTTCTGACCAGAGCTCAGTAGAGATGCTGAGACAGAGCCTCAAACCTACCAGTGTTTCTGAATTGAAGCGTCGGTGAGGAAGAGTGGTCTCAAGTTCCTCTGCGACAATGTGAGAAAGGCTCGTGTCAAATTATGGGAAGTGTTGGTCGCAGTTGTTTCTGTTGAAGGTAATGAAACAGGTCATTAACTTTTAGCTTAAAGGGTGAAATTGCTTTTAAAAATGTTATAAAAAAATCAATTAAATATTTTCTGTTTGATAATGTTCTCTCTGCCTACATTCTGTTTAAAAGTCTAAAAGCATTCTCGTAGCCCCAATATCTACATTTTGTTTTTGTTTTTTTGTTTTTTTTTGCTGCACAACATGCAACATAACTCTGTACATACATACATATACATATAGCACTGTTGACTCATGGCGAGAAGAGCCTGAGTTCGATACCCCGGTCAGGTGACCAGGATCTTTTGAGTTTCCGTGTTCTCCCCATGTTTGCGTGGGTTTCTTCCAGGTGCTCCGGTTTTCTCCCACAGTCCAAAGACGTGCTGTCAGGCCAGTTGGAGATACTAAATTGCCCCTATGTGTGTGTGAGAATGTGTATATCTGTATGTCTGCCCTGTGATGGACTGGTGGCCGGTCCAGGGTGTTTCCTGCCTTCCACCCAAATGACTGCTGGGATAGGCTCCAGCACCACCCACCCTCCGACCCAGGAGGATAAGTGGCTTAGGTGATGAATGAGTGTTTATAACACACGTGCTAGAAAATAATATAGCTGGATACCAGCATATGTTGATGCTGGTACATACAAACTACAACCTGTAGCCCGTCTGTTTCTAACTGTCAAATAAAGTAAAAAAAACAATGTCTGATTATGTCTGAACTAATCAGAGTCAGAGTAAAGCAAATCAACTCTGCATAAATTGCTGTTAATTATTTTAATAGCAAAAATGTTCTAAACAGGTATCAGTGAATTTGCACAGTTTAAAAGCTGAGAATGTTACTGTCTGTAGATGTTCACACCTGTGCGTTAATGTAAGGGGTCAGGGAGCTGATGGACAGCAGGACTGTCACCAAACATGGCAATATTAATTGAGAAGTATACCTGTTACTCTGACTCTTAATCAAGTGATCTGTTTTTTAATACAGGCTTAGTGAAAAAATCAGCCTTTCAGGGATTCTAACCTACTTTATTGAAACAAACTAGGAAGCCTCATAAAATCTTCTAAATTTGAAATGCATGTAAGTGTTACTGTAATGTGTGCTACACAGTTCACAGAGAGATGTGTAAACGTCACTAGCAGAGCACACTGATCAGTCTCAGCACTCAGAACTTCCTCATGTAAAATCATGTCCTGCTTTAGTTCTGATTGTACAGATTATTTCTCCAAGACTCAGATATTCCAGGTTGTGACTGCAGATCTAAAAAAGTAACTAAATTACTTAATTAGTTTTCCAATAAACCTCTTATTTACTCTTACTTGAGTAATTTCTTTTATTAACTACTAAATTAAATATAACTACAGTAATGGTACACTTTTAAAAAAGATGGTTCTTCAAGGGTTCTTTAGTAAAGAAAGTGGTTCCATATAGAACCATGAGCACTCAAATAACACATTTAAATTAATATATGCATTGTGTAAGGATTGATAGAGAATGTATGGCTCTATATAGAACCTTTTTGAAAAGGGTTCTTCTTTTGTTATAGGCTTGACATTGCAACAATAGGAGAGCCCTTTTTGGTGCTATATGGAACCATATATAACATATTGACCATGCAATGAATCATTTAATCATGCAAAGGGTTCTTTGAGTGTTCATGGTTCTATATAGAACCACTTTCCTTACTAAAGAACCCTTGAAGAACCATCTTTTATAGTTTGTATTTTTATTTAAGTAGGGTTTTCTGTATTCTGCTCACCCCTGGTGATGGAGGCGTTTACCTGTAGAGTTCTTTTATTCAGTGATGATTTTTTTACCAACATTTTGAAAGAAATCACTTTTTTAATTACATTTTTATTTATTTACTGATGCTAAATCAAAGAATTATGTTAACTGAAACTGTCTAGACTGGTTACAGACCTAGATTTACTTGCAACACTCAAAAATACTGGCAGCAGATGTTGAGGTTTTTTTTTTCATTCAGCTTTAGCAAAAAGTTAAAGAAGGCTTTAAGAACAGAAGACTAAGATTAAAGTAGCAGAACTGCTGCCTGTGTTAATAGAAGTGATCAGCATTAATGAAATCAAGGGGAAATGCAGCAGCTCTAATAGTAGGGGAAGGTCAGAGACCCCCTCTACAGGCCAGTCGGAGAACTGCAGGAAAGAACTGCTGACCAATCGTAGAGCAGGAGGCGGGTTTAGTCTGAAAAGAGGTGCGAATTAAAACAGCAGCTCCAGTGTGGCCGTGAATCCTCCTGTCCATGTGGGGGCGCTGTTTCCATAACTGTGGTTCTCCAGCCTCAGTGAAGTGGAGAAGCTCCAAGCGTTTCTGCAGAACTGTAAGCGGCTGAAAGAGGTTCTGCAGACCTGAAGGTAAAAGTAAGACGCGTGTTTTAATGTAGTCAGAAGGAAAACAGGTTCTGTAAATGCTTTAAGCTGAGCAGCCTTCCTCCAGGATTAGCTGAAGAGGCTAATGCTAGCTCCTCTGCCTGTGTTTCTTCATGTTCTCCTACTCTCTTAAAAATTATGGTTCTCCAAAGGTTCTTTAGTAAAGGGAACACTGCTGAAAAAATGAGCCGTTAGGGTTTTGCTTTCTAATGAGAATTGGCTTAATGGTTTCCAATAGAGAACACCTTTAGATCCCATTAGGGAGCCATTAAATGCATAGAATCAGCTGTTGGTCACCTGTTAAACCATTAGGATCCTTTACATTGTGGTGTCAACCCATTAAAAAAAAAAAACAAAATACATTACAAAACCAACAGAAACGCTTAATGGTTTCTATGTTTTATTTTCAGCAGGGAGGTTCTAGATAGAATCATGACATGCTTAAAGGGTTCTTTGCATGGTGAAATGGTTCTTCAAGTGTCTATATAGAACCGTGTTGAAAACAGTGCTATATAGCACCAAAAATGGTTCTGCTATTGTTACAATGTCCAGATTGTAACAACAGGAGAACCCTTGTTTGCGCTATGGCTCCTCTTTGGTGTTGGGACATAAACTGACCTGTTGCTCTCGGTCATTGTGGGCTTTCCCAGAACCAACAGACACACTGGGTTTTTGGGGTTTTTTTCAGCAGGGATGGTCAATAATTTGTCTTCTGTAGAATCTTGAAATATTTCTTTTGCAATGATTTCTGTGACTTTTCTGTGAAAATTGTCACAGAAAAAGTCAACAAAACTCTTCAGGTTTTGACATTATTGGGTTGTAGTTTGAAAGATCTGGTAGTAACTGAACTAGTTTTATAGTTACTGTATTGTTATTATTACTCTCGGACGACTAAAATAATTATCACAGTTTCCTCAAAGTTTTTTTTATAGTTCATTTGCCCAAAAAATACTTCCTTTAAAAAGCATTGCATTTTGTTATATGAGTGGACAATTAAGCTTCATAAATAAGAATGTATTTATTACTTTTAGAAAGTCAGTAACCTTTTTTTTTCCCATCATGTGAATGCTGGGTTCACATTAACTGAATGACTTACTTTGCTCTGGTTTAAGCTTTAGCTCAGCTATAGCTGCTTTTTTCACATCTCTGGCAGGAAACCTTTCCTCAAAAGTAGGACAGTTTTGTGTAAAATGTCTCTCAACGTTCAACGTTTTACGAGGCTGAAGTCGCTTCTCATTCACGGCTTCTTTTTCATTTTCCCGTTCCATCTTAAATGGTACAACAGGCGGCATTTAAGATGGAACGGGAAATTTCGAACGAGAAGCGACTTCAGCTTCGTGACTTTTAAGTGTTTGACAGTTTGTCATTGCAGATTAAACGTATCAGAAAACCAGCTGGAGTGATTATGAATGCTAAGAAGTCCATTCGTCTCCAAATTATCAATGTTCATCTTAAATCTTTCTCTTTGCTTTTTTGTTAGCTACTAGCTAGGCGAGATTGTCTGCGTTGCTATGGTGACCAGCATCAACCACAACATTATGTCTTGTCTCCAGCACTAAAGTTGCAGATATCACTGACATTGCTGTGGTGTGTTTTGCTTGTAAACAATGCTTCACACCCTACATACTGCAGTGATAAACAAATTCACAACATGACAATGTGTGGAAATAAGTTTGGTTTTGTGGAGGTTTTTAAGATCTGTGTTCATTGTAGAATGAACTCTGTGTCCCCTGTGTTTTCAGTCTATGAGAATATAGCTAATTACTATGTAAGCTTTATATAAGTGTGACGAACAGTTTTGTCCGTTGGAAGATCCTTATCATGTTGGATCCTTATCAAGTTTTAGATGAGCCAAGGGTGTGGAAGTTGGCCAAGAAAGATTAGGTCATGTTGGTATCCAGTATAATCGTGTAATTTGAGAATTAAGGGTTCCCAAATTATGTAAAAATGAATAAAATGGGAAGGGCAAAGGAGGAGACAGATGACCCCCTCTTTGCCCAGATGTGTATAAAAACTGATGTACTGGGTGATTCAAAAAGGTTCATCCGATTTCAGAACTATTTATTTCACTTGTAAATCATTACAGAACAATGCAGTGAACTGTAAATGGTTTAAATGAGCACAAAGTTTATTATGTAATTTTACAAGTGCTGAATATGAACCTCCTCCAGCTGTACAGACAACATCAACACCATAGTCAAATTCATCCCATATTCGATTGGGCATGTCGGGTGTCGCTACACTCACGGCTCTTTCAGTGCGATTTCGGAGATCATCCAGTGTTGTGGAACCAACGACGAACGCTCTGAGCTGTTGGAGGTTTCCTGCCGATAAAAATCATGTTGCACAGTTATGACGGCTTCACTATTATTGAAGTGGAGAATGCAGAACACTTGGGGGTCTCGTCTCCTCGCAGACTGAAGGAGCCATCTTCCACTGACGGTCAGAAACTCTATGAGCCCCTCTTTCAGTTGGTGTGTGATTGGTTCCTAGACGCCTCACAGTTGTAAAAATATGTCGCTTTGAAATTGGATTTATCTTTTTGAATCACCCTGTATTTTCTTTGAGTGCTTCAGTTGCAGCCCGAGGAAACTCAGGTTAACGCTTCCGTTTTTGGGGCCTTAATCTTTAATAAAAGATGGCACCTTTTCTCGCCATTCTTGGTGTTTATTTTTTCCGTTTTGTATTAGGTGAAATTATATTTTTGAATTAGAAGCATACCGTTTTTCTGTGACAGTTCCACAAGAGAGCCATAATCGAACCTTCCATTTAAAAGCAATATTTGTAGAAAGAAATTCAACCAAGTCATGACCACATCTGTGCAACAAAAATGTACAGCACACAATCAGCTGTGCTTGAGGTTGGAACTACAGACGGTTCCAATAGGTAAACGAAAAATATTGTATCAAATCTATTGCTTTAACACGTTATTGTTCTTATTGGTTTGTTTTTATTTTGTCTGTCGTATTAATCATGATTAGATTTTTTTTAAATATAATTTTCTTTTTTCCCCTTCAGAAATGAGCGACATCTGCAGTTTCCACTCACCTCTGCAAGAACATGATGAGGAGTCGGGGAATTCGTCTGACTGCTGAAATCCAGAGAGGTTAGAATATGAGAAAATAGTGTCCAAAGGAAGTTCCACTACACAGCAAACCTCCTCTGGTCACTTCATTTAACAGACAAACAGGAAAATAGGAAGCATGGAGAAAACTCAGCACTGCGCAGAGTGTGGGAGGAGTTTTACCGCAAAGAGTGACCTCCAACGACACCAGCGCATTCACACCAGAGAGAGGCTGCATCGCTGCTCCGAGTGTGGGAGGAGTTTTGCTCTGAAGATCACTCTTAAACGACATCAGCGCATCCACACAGGAGAGAGGTTGCGTGACTGCTCGGAGTGCGGGAAGATTTTCACCACGGAGAACAACCTCAAGCAGCACCAGCGCGTTCACACCGGAGAGAGGCCGTATTACTGCTCAGAGTGCGGGACGAGTTTTACGACTGAGAACAACCTGAGGCGACACCAGCGCATTCACACGAGAGAGAGGCCGTACGACTGTGCGGAGTGCGGGAGGAGTTTTGCTCAGCAGGTTCACCTCCAACGGCACCAGCTCGTCCACACAGGAGAGAAACCGCATCAGTGTTTGGAGTGCGGGATGAACTTCACTAGAAAATGTCATCTCCGACGGCACCAGCGGATTCACACCGGAGAGAAGCTGTATCGCTGTTCGGAGTGTGGGAAGAGTTTCACTCAACAGAGCACTCTCCAAAACCACTCGCGCATCCACACGGGAGTGAAGCCGTATTACTGCTCAGAGTGCGGGGAGAGTTTTACTCGACACGGTTACCTCCGGCAACACCAGCTCGTTCACACAGGAGAGAGTGAGGAGTGTGAGGAGAGCTGCACTTTAAAGAATAATCTCCAGAAACGCCGGCGCATTCACACTGGAGAGAAACCGTATCACTGCTCAGAGTGTGGAAAGACCTTTACTAGACATTATACTCTCCAAAGACACCAGAGCGTTCACACGGGACAGACATAATTACTGCTCAGACTGTGCGAAGTCAAGTCAAAGTTTATTTATATCGCGCTTTTTACAACAGGCCTTGCCACGAAGCACCTTGAAAGCTGGGTCGGCCTCTCGGGCACAGTTTAAAATGGTTTAAATCATATTTAGGTAGTAGGCAGTTCATGGTTTCAGTGGGAAATCATTCAACAAATAGATCTGGAATTTCCTGTGGAGTCCCTCAAAGTTCAGTTTTAGGGCCTTAGCTTTTCTCCTCTAGGTGATGTCATTAGGAAACATAATGTAAATTTTCGTAGATATGCCTACGACACCCAGTTATACATTTCCATTCCGTCTGGTGATCAAGACTCGGTTGACAGATAGACCAGCTGTGTGTCAGATATTTCTCAGTGGATGTCGGAAAACTTTCTACAATTTAATCGCGAAAAAACGGAAATACTGATTGTTGGTACAGAAACTCAGAGAAAGCTGCTTTATGAGAAACTTGGTTCTTAAGCTTCATGTACCAAACCTGCAGTATTAAACCTGGGTGTGATCTTAGACTCTGAGCTCTGTTTTATCTGCATGTAAACAGTCACTAAAGTAGCTTTTTATCATTTCAGAAATGTCACTAAAGTTCAGCCTTTTCTCTCTCAGAGCGACGCAGAGAAACTTGTTCATGCGTTTGTTACAGCAGAGTTGATCACTGTAACGATCTTCGTACTGGGCCTCCTAAGAAAACAATACATCCTTTACAACTCGTACAAAAAGCATCAGCATCCTAACAAAAACAACACAGAGAGATCAGATCAGTCCTGTTTTAAAAGAGCTGCACTGCCTACCTGTATCATTCAGGATAGATTTTAAAGTTCTGCTACTAGTTTTAAAGCTCAACATGACCTTAAAGCACCGCTTACATCACAGAGTGTCTGTCTGTTTATGATCTTAGATCTGCAGAAACTGACCTTCTGAACACCTTCAGTAAAATACAGAAAACAAAGAGACTCGTTCAGTTATTCTGCTTCTAAACTGTGGAGCTCAGTTCACCTTTTATTAGACAGTCAAGCTCAGCGCTTAGTTTTAAGAAGCATCTAAAACGTCTCTTTAACTTGGCGCTTAATTAAAACTGTCGTGGTGTTTATCTTCTAATCTGATCTGTGTCATTTTCTTATGATTCTAAATTAATACTTACAAATTCTCATACTACTCTTTAACTTCATCACCTGTCTGTAAAGGACTTTAAGCTGCCACTGGCATGAAAAGTAAATTATTATTATCATTATTATTATTATTATTATTATTATTATTAAAGCAGCTTTACAGAAAAATCCAAGTCCAAGCTCTCATGAGCAAAACAACGGCAACAGTGGCAAGGAAAAACTCCCTAAGAGCAACAGGAAGAAACCTTGAGAGGAACCAAGACTCAGAAGGGGAACCCATCCTCCTCTGGTCGACACTGGATAGCAAAACAGTAACACGAGAGCAACATTAACAGAGAATGAGGTTTGATCATTAGTATAAGATACAGAAAAGGGGGAAAGCAGGTGAAGCAATAGCTCTGAATACAGTTTGAGTCTGTGCAGCAGCATCATCATGAGGGTCAGAGGGGTAGATATTTTGTACTATGTGGGCTAGATAAGTTGGTATGGAATGACCCCAGAAAGATTTACAGTACTGATGGCAAATTAGAATAAATATTCTCTTAATCAATGATAATCAATAATCAATAGTTAATACTGATTTCTCTTACTAAGAGGTGGTACAGGAAAAAAAGAATAGGCCTTGTGCTGTGTGCTGAAAATTCTAACTGTAGTGAACTCATATGGAGAGTTGTGTAAGATGACCTTGTACTATATAGGTGCACTTTGAAGTTCTACAGTTACAGACTGTAGTCCATCTGTTTCTCTGCATACTTTGTTAGCCCCCTTTTACCCTGTTCTTCAGTGGTCAGGACCCCCATGGACCCTCACAGAGCAGTTACTATTTGGGTGGTGGATCATTCTCAGCACTGCAGTAACACTGATGTGGTGGTGATATGTTAGTGTGTGTTGTGCTGGTCTGAGTGGATCAGACACAGCAGTCTTTACCTGAAATAAAAAAAAAAAACGCATCACTTTACCTGAAAATATGAACATACATCATCTAGAAGATGAAGAATGTTTAAAGCCTTCGTTTCATTGAGAACGTAGTCGGTTTCAGCGTCGCTGCTTATTTCTGGTACCGCCCTCTGATTTTGCATATGCTCAGACTGAGAAATCCGAAAGAAATCAGAGTAAGAGTTCACATGCACTAAGCTAAAATCCAGCTCTCTTTATCAGATTTCTTAATCAGATTTCTAGATTGGAGTATGGCGCTTACATGACCATTTGAATAATCGGATAACTGCAGAAATCTGATTATGATTGAATTATTGAATGCATGTAAACACACTCAGTGTTTCTCTCACATTCGCAGTAAAGCACCTGGACAGTACTGGATCCTTTATGTCAGCTGGACACCTTGTGGTGGTGGTGAAAGTGGGAAAGCGTTCAGATTTTGCTGCCCCGGGACCTGGACAGCTCAGTACTACTGAAGGAACCGTGAATTCTGTTCTCTAATGGACAATTTTAAGGGGATGATTACTTTTTCACATGACTTGCATGTTGAATATTTCTAGTTCTAAAATAAGAGAGATGATGGTGTTATTGGGTGTGACAGTGTTTCTCTTTGTCTAATATTACATTAGGCTTGTTCAGATTAACTCAGTCAGTTATCCTGCTGGAAAAACCCAGAAACCATTAAAAGCTTTTGTTGGTTCCTAGTGGTTTTGTGATGTATTTTGGCTTTTCCTGATGTATTAATATCACAGTGCGAAGGATTGTAATGGTTTAACAGCCCTGCTGAAAAAAAAACAAAAAACATTTGAACCATTATGGTTAAAACCTGATGATTTTGCTTTCTAATGGGAATTGGTATTATGTTAACCATTAGAGACCACTTTAGGAAACCATAGGATGCATCTGGAATCAGTCTCAGAACACCTATTAAACCATTAAGAGTCCTTTACACTGTGATATCAACCCATAAGGAAACACTAAACACCACCCTGCTAAAAACCTCACAGGAACCATTAAGTGTTTCTGTTGGCTCCTGATGGTTTTGTAATGTGTTTTGACTTTTTTAATAGGTTAACATCACAGTATAAAGGGTTCTAATGGTTTAACAGGTGACCAATGGCTGATATTAATGGGTTTCCTAATGGTATCTAAAGGTATACTACAGGAAACCGGCGGTCTCTATCGGAAACCATTAAGCCAATGGTTTAGAAAGCATTAGGTTGTAATCTTAATGGTTTTTAATGGTCCTTTTTTCAGCAGGGCATTAGGGACTACTGGACACCACCAGGAAGTTTTTTAATGGTTTCTATGACTCTTCTCAGCAGGGAGGTGTTCTGGGACCGATTTCAGATGGTTTCCTAATGGGATCTAAAGGTGTACAACAGGAAACTAATGGTCTGTAATGGTCACTATTAAGACAATTCCCATTAGAAAGCACAAACCATCGGGTTTTAACCCTGGTCTTTTTTTAAGAATGGTAACTGAATATGAAGCATCATAAAGCCTGTAGTTAAAACTCATGGGTGGGATTAGTAGCTCTAATGGTAGAGCTCAGAGACCCCCCTCAGGTGGGATTGAAAGCCGCAGCTCCAGATCAGACTGTGGAGCCTCCTGGCCAGGCGGGGGCGCTGTTTCTCCAGCCTCAGTGAAGGAGGCGTGAGCTTGTGCAGGAGGTCCAGGCGCTTCTGCAGCGTTTGTTTGGGGAGATAAAGAGGAGCTGCGCTCCTGAAGGAGGTAAAATAAGGACAGTGCTGTGTTCTGTTGGTCAGAGCGTCTATTGCAGGTTCTGTAGATTATAATCCAGTGTAGAAGAGTCTAAATCCAGATTAGCTGAGGAGGCTAAAGCTGCTGTGTTTGCGTTTCTCTCATTTCTCCAATGCGCAGTTCTCGACAAGCCCGTCTGCGCATTTAGCGCATTTATTGCGTTTATTTGTGGTAAAGAAGTTTGTTACTGTGCTGTTTTGCCTTCGAGCAAACCTGGCGGAGTTCCTCCCTCCTGAAGGCTTCCCTGCTGAAGAAGGACCATTAGACACAATTAGGATTAAACCCTAATGGGTTTCCTTTCTAACGGGAATTGGCTTAATGGTTTCCAATATACACCAGTACTTTCCTGTAGAACACCTTTGGATCCCATTAGCAAACCATCAAATGGATTTAGAATCAGCCAGTGGTCACCTGATAAACCATTAGGATCCTTTACACTGTGATATGAACCCATTAAAAAAAAAGCCAAAACACATTACAAAACCATCAGGAACCAGCAGACACACTTAATGGTTTCTATTGTTTTTTCAGCAGGGATGATAAAAATATTGTGCATAATCTACTTAAACTAAACTGCTTCACTTTTTGTATGTAGAAACTAAACATTACTAATAGAGTCATCTTAATTTTTCAGGTCCATTCTGTAAAAAGATGGTTTTTCAAGGGTTCTTTAGTAAGGACTGTGGTTCTAGAACCATGAATACTCAAAGAACCATTTGCATGTGTAGAGAAAGTGGGTCTATATAAAACCATGACTTCTATATGGAACCATTTCATGCTTAAAGGGTTCCTTGCATGGCGAAATGGTTCTATATAGCACCGAAAAGAGTTCTTCTGTTGTTATGATGTCAACCTTGTAACAACAACAGCAGAACCCTTTTCAAAGAGGTTCTACATAGGACTATTTACAGCACATTCTCCATCAATCTAGAGAACCATTTCACCAAGCAGAGAACCCTTTAAGAATGACATGGTTCCATATAAAAGTCGTGGTTTTACATAGAACCACTCCCATTACACATGCAAATCGTTCTTCAGATTGATGGATGATTTGGTATAGCACAAAAAAGGGTTCTCCTGTTGTTACGATGCCAAGCTTGTAACAACAGCAGAACCCTTTTCAAAGAGGTTCTACGTAGAACCATCTACAGCACATTCTCCATCAATCTAGAGAAACATTTCACCAAGCAGAGAACCCTTTAAGCATGAAATGGTATAGAAGTCATGGTTTTACTTAGAACCACTCCCTTTACACATGCAAATGGTTCTTTGAGGGTTCATGGTTCTATATAGAACCATTGCTAAAGAAACCTTGAAGAGCCACCCCTATTCAAGAGTGTAGAGTTATCAGCACACATACTTAGGTTGAACTGTGAAACACTTTCTACAGTGTACATGTTTATACACCAGTCAGGCATAACATGATGACCACCTCCTTATTTTTAAACACTGTGTCCACTCACTGTCCACTCTATTAGACACTCCTACCTTGTCAGTCCACCTTGTAGATGTAAAGTCAGAGACAATAGCTCATCTGCTGCTGCACAGTTAGTGTTGGTCATCCTCTAGTCCTTCATCAGTGGTCACAGCACGCTGCCCACAGGACGCTGTTGGCTGGATATGTTTGGTTGGTGGACGATTCTCAGTCCAGCAGTGACACTGAGGTGTTTAAGATGAGAAAAAAGAATCTGTCACAAAATAGCTTTGACAAAACAGCCCACTGTGCATGTTTTCTGGAACATTAACTGAATAAGACACAGGCTGCTGCGCTCTGAAATAGGTAAAGCTGATTTAAGAGGGACAGCAGGGTGACCAGCCAATAACACATGGCCGTAGTCTAATCTGGTAGTTATGAAGGCAGCTGAAAAACTGCAGGGTTAGCATGTGTCATATTTGGATGTTTCTGTAGTAATAAAACGCAGTCTTTGAGAAATTATTGATACGGGACTGAAATGATTAACTAGTAGAGTTCAGCTGAGGAAGTTCCAGGTCACCCAGGCTTATATATCTTTAAGAATATCCTATAATTATGTGTAAGTGTCTTTGAATACGGCTGAGCTGGCATGTGTAGGGGAGTATTATTAGCATAAAAGTGAAACGCACTGCTGCTGAGGGCTGAGGGAGTCTGGAAATTGCTAATGCCCTGATTATTTGTTAGTCTAGATACAGTATTAAGTAGGAATGATGTAGTTCTTATTGTTTTCTGTCGGATTAGAACAATATGATGACCAAGCAGTAACAAGAGCCTGATGGTAGTTTGTTAAAGGCTCTGTCCATGATATGCTGAAAACCTCCAGCTTGTTTTTTTTTTCCACCATCTTCCTTTCATACAATCAAGTCAAGGTACAAAGTTCTTCTAATAGCAGTTTTCCTAATACATAAAGGAGCTACACTGTCCAGGGAAGCCATTAGTCATTCGATCAAGCTGTGATGTCCTACGAGGCAAACTGCTAAGTTCACTCAGGTCAGGAAGGCTTTGTTTGAGTGCCTCGGCTATAATCGCACGCTTTATGCAAATACAGGATCTGGTACCAGGAACTGTCGTCATCTAAACTCACAACAGACAAGATAGAGATCAGATGCAACACCATTCCAAGGGACTGTAAGGTCCTCGGTAACATTAATGCCAGTTGATTTCAGAATATAACCAAAAAGTTAGTCAAGTCAGAGTTTATTTGTATAGCACTTTTTGTGACAGGCGCTGTGACAAAGCAGAAAAATCCAGTTCTGAGCCCCCATGAGTGTCGCCGGTGGTGAGGGTGGCAAGGAAAAACTCCCTAAAAGCAAAAGGCTCTTCGCTCATTGTCCATTTTATCAGCTCCACTTACTATATAGGTGCACTTTGTAGTTCTACAGTTACAGACTGTAGTCCATCTGTTTCTCTGCATACTTTGTTAGCCCCCTTTTACCCTGTTCTTCAGTGGTCAGGACCCCCATGGACCCTCACAGAGCAGGTACTATTTGGGTGGTGGATCATTCTCAGCACTGCAGTAACGCTGACGTGGTGGTGGTGTGTTAGTGTGTGTTGCGGTGGTGGTCATAATGTTATGTCTGATCTGTGTCTATAACAATGGCTATGATTAAATAGTTTGCAGCAGCATCATCAGGGGGTCAGTGACATGCAGGTGAGGTCTGCACATGTTTAAATCCTATAACATCTGTATTAAGAACTGCAAGTGCTGTTGAGTTCTGCAGTTTAGTAGTTTAGTACATTTGCCTTGAATTTTGAATTTTTCCTTTTTCTCCTCCAGAAATGAATGAGCTCTGCCCAGTTTAAATTCACAGCGTCCAGAAGAACCTCCAGCTTCAGAAGCTTCAGTGAACGTCCTCTGGCTCCTCTCCACACCAACTCGTCCCACGGAAGAATACAGGCATGGAGACAACCCACCACTGCTCAGTGTGCGGACTGAGTTTTGGTCAGAAGGATCAGCTCCAGCGACACCGGCGCATTCATCAGAGAGAGAGGCCGTACGACTGCTCAGAGTGCGGGAAGCGTTTCACTAGAGATAATCATCTGAAGCGACACCAGCTCATTCACACTCGAGAGAGGCCGCACTGCTGCTCAGAGTGCGGGGTGAGTTTTACTCAGCGCACTCACCTCCAGAGACACCAGCTCATCCACACGGGAGAGAAGCCGTACTGCTGCTCAGAGTGCGGCAAGAGTTTTACGAGGCAGTGTCACCTCCAGAAACACCAGCGCATTCACACGGGAGAGAGGCCGTACGACTGCTCCGAGTGCGGGATGAGCTTCACTCAGCAGAGCCATCTCCAGAGACACCAGCTCATCCACACAGGAGAGAAGCCGTACTGCTGCTCCGAGTGCGGGACGAGTTTTACCAGGCACAGTCATCTCCAGCGCCACCAGCTCATTCACTCAGGAGAGAAACCGTTTCAGTGCCCCGAGTGCGGGGAGAGCTTCACTCATCAGAGGACTCTCCAAACACACAAGTGCAGCCACACAGAAGATGAACCGCATTGCTGCTCAGAGTGTGGGGAGAGTTTTACTCAGCAGAGTCGTCTTCAAATGCACCAGTGTGTCCACGCAGAAGAGAAACCACACTGCTGCTCAGAGTGTGGGGAGAGTTTTACTAAAAGGAGTTCTCTCCAACGACACCAGCTCATTCACACAGGAGAGAAACCATATGGCTGCCCAGAGTGTGGGAGGAGCTTCGGGCATTTGCGTCATTTAAAGATACACACGTGTGTTATGAGCGAGTTTGAGATGACTGACCTGAAAGATGTAACGTGTGTTATTGTGTCGTAGTCACAAGGCGTGACTCAGAGCGAGGGTAGGAGACACTTTGCTAGCACTCGTATATGAAGGCTCCTCTTCAGTTTTCACTCCCGCACATTTGAGACGCAAGACCCCGGGGTCGTCCCAGGACCCACTGGAGGGATCATATCTCTAAGTTGACCTCAGGATCCTCCGGAATGGGCTGGAGGAAGTTGCAGGGGACAGCGTTGTCTACCGCAACCCTATCTGAACTAAGCTGTTAAAGATGATGATGACATTTGAGACAGTCTGAGCAGACTGGAAAGAAACTAGGGATGCAGTGGTACACAAAATATGTTGTGGAGCCTTTCGGTACGCCCCCTAAGGTTCAGTACGCATGGTGTTGGTGTTCCGATGTGTCTCTTATTTTCATTCATCATTTCCAAAACCCTCCTTATTGGGCTGCAGACTGCACTCACGTTGTACATTCAGATCCACAGTACATCTCTGCAGAATTTCCCTGGAGCCTGTCTGCGCTCTGTATGCAAATAAGGGAAGGGGAACTAAAAACACGAGGGCGCATGTGACTCGGGCAGCCGGTCTTAGGTAAACAGACAAATGCTAATTTAAAGTTATCTAACGTCTGACGTTACAGCTGAGTCTTTTTCAGCTCGTATCTTTCAGCACCAAAAACAGACAGTTTGTGAAGAGGTGGTGAACAGATGCCAAGCGTGAGGAATGACACGGAACGCATCGCTTCATTAAGTTTGTGGGTCACTGACAAATTCAAACATGACAATTTCTTATTAAAATGGACATGATGTGCATTTTTATATCTGCCTATGTGTTTGCATTATATACATATACATACATATATGTATATATATGTGTGTGTGTGTGTGTGTGTATGTGTATATATATATATATATATATATGTATATATATTTATATATATATTTATATATATATATATATTTATATTTATATATATATATTTATATATATATATATGTATATTTATTTATATATATATATATATATATATATATATATATATATATATATGTATATTTATATATATACACGTGTGTGTGTGTGTGTGTGTGTATTTTATATCTTAATTGTAGTTAGTGATATCAAAGCTTTTAATGGCTTATTTCAGTTATTAAACTGTGCTTGTCTCATTTAACTTATCAGCCGGTTTAACTAACCACCTGACTTTTCAGACTATTTTCAAATGAAACAGGCATCTACTTAGACACCCATAGAAACCTTTGTCCTTAAATTTGCGTTTATACTTGCATTTTCTCCTGAGGTCAGACCACCTGACGTGGCAAACTGAACCGTTCTGACCACGACTCAAAAATCACATTTTTTGTAAAAGAGCCTCTGACCTTGGCATTACACCAAGAAGGTCACTTGGGGTCTTGTTTATGATGCAATACCCTGGCCGCTCTTTGAAAAAAAACATGTCAAATTAAAAGTCCTTAGTTGTGCTGCCTGACATTTGAGTAAGAAAGAACTTGCGGACAAATGTTTTTCAGTGAGTGGAGCACTTTTAAAGTCGCCTTATTTGTAACATGGTTTTTATTTTAAAGATTCCAAACATAAAATCATGCCAAACCATTTTATTTAGATTTATATAACTAAATGACCTTTTTTGATAGTTTACTGAATCTAAATGTATGGTTGGACAGTTATACCATCTAACATTTTTAGACTTTTGGAGGCAAAAAGAAACTAAAGTTCATTTGATGTGGGTGCACTGAAAATTGTGTCACATAAAAGAGGCATTGTTGAGTAATTTGATAAATGTAATGTATTAAATGTACATTTATTAAGCTTTTTTTTCAGACAATTTTGGATTCATAGACGCAAAATAATAGAATAATGGAAACAAAAAATACACATCATGTCAGTGACCCTTTTTAAAAATGACCTTGAACCTGGCTGTTATTGGCTCTCCAGCACTCTGCTTTGTGACGCTGCGTTACTCAGCTCGGCCGATGTGCAGTGTCCCCTCCTGCACACATTTCAGCAGCAAAGAAATTCCTGAACTCTATAAACATCGCAGAGGAGATTGAAAAAGAATTGACACAGACACCCTGTTTGGCTCTCTTTCAATATTCAAAATAGAGAAGGCAAAGTGTTTACAGGTAGTCAAAGCAGCTCTTTTAATTTGCATGTTTTTCTCCCCTTCATTTCATACAGTAGAGACAGAAACCAGTCCACCAGGCCCAGTCAGTCATGCTGCCCTTTTTCTGAATGGAGTTTTATGTGTCTGTTGGCAGAATGAAGAGTTCATGGTTTAAAGGGTGATGTGTTTTTATTTTTAATTAAAAATAAAGATACTGAATCCTTACTACTACTGTGTCCCAAAACCCGTGATTCTTACCGACTGTGGGCCCACTGCTTGTCCCCCCTAAAAGATATTTTACGGTTTAGCAACATAAACAAACTAACATGTTTATCTCTTATGCTAAAAAAAATTACCTTATACGTTTCGTTACAGAATCTGCACAGCATCTCCCGTTCATGACTGTTTCTGCCATTCCTTAAACAGTTTCGCGCTTTGCTTGAGGGGCTATGGGTGATTGAAGGTCTCGAAGGTCCTTGGCCTTGTCAGAAATGATGGCTGCATTTGAAGGGTCCTACAAAATGGGACACGCTTCAGCGACGTAGCAGCTGAGAAATGCAGCCCTCCTCGGCTGAGACACGGCTGGAGTCCTCTCCACCATTAACAGCTCATTCACACAAGAGGGAGTCCACGAGTTTTACTTAAGAGTCATCGCCAGCCGTTACAGCACCTTCACACTGGAGAGAAGACATTATTACTGTTCAGAGTGACAACAGATGTTCATTGCGGACAAAAAAAAACCAGTTCAGCTACAAACGGCGTGGACAGCAAACACTGGCCAAAACACACCGATCAGGCATAACATTCTGACCACCTCCTTGTTTCTATGCTCATTGTCCATTTTATCAGCTCCACTTACTATATAGGTGCACTTTGTAGTTCTACAGCTACAGACTGTAGTCCATCTGTTTCTCTGCATACTTTGTTAGCCCCCTTTTACCCTGTTCTTCAGTGGTCAGGACCCCCATGGACCCTCACAGAGCAGGTACTATTTGGGTGGTGGATCATTCTCAGCACTGCAGTAACACTGACGAGGTGGTGGTATGTTTGTGTGTGTTGCGCTGGTACGAGTTGCACAGTGCTGCTGTGTCTGATCCACTTGTGTGTGTATATATATATATATATATATGCAGTGGAAAACAAAGTAGCTGGTACCAAAAGTGAGTTGAGTCAAGTTGAGCTGTACTATGCAGTGGAAAAGCAGCTTTTGGTTTGGGTTGAGGCTGGGTAGGTTCACTCGCTCTCACTCTTGATAGCTAGCTAGCTGTGTTTTGGCATTGTTGGCTCCTGAAGTTTAACCCCTCTATTCAATAAACTTGAAGGAAATCAAGCAGTTGTCTCATCTCTCTTTTCTGCTGCAGTTGGACCCCTGACCAGGCCATAACACAATGTACTGTTGCGCTGGCCAAAGAGGTGAACTAACACCCCCCGCCACCACCACCACCACCCCAACAAAAAAACATTTACATTATTTGGCAGACACTCTTAACCGGAGTGACTTACTCTTTGATCATTTTACACAGGTAGGTGAAGGAAGTGTTAGGAGTCTTGCCCCAGGACTCTTATTGGTATAGTGTAGGGTGTTTACAGGGGGAGGGAACTGAACCCCAGTCTTCAGCATGGAGGGCAGAGGTGTTACCCACTACACCATACCAACAAACTAAGGTTGGTATTTTGATTTGTAATTCGGGTGTAAAATATATCCTGTTATTCTTAATATTCTTAATCTTAACTCTTATTGCTTAATAGTTACGCTACTTTTAAAAAAAGTGTCTTAAATGATGTGACTTTGTTACACATTAGACATGTAATGCAACAAATGCATGAAACCTAAAACCAGTCAGACTCAACAGTGTTGAAAATGGGGTTATCAAAAGAGCTGAACACCACTGACTGTAACGCTGCTGGCAAAAAGACTAAAATCTGAGCTTTTCTGAATTGTAATATGCTTCCATTTTGGTTGTGTGTAGAAATTGTTTGAAATACTGCATTCACATGAAATGTTCAGATATATTTTGGCAGCGTTTTCACCATATTTATTTGAAATATAGAGACCAAACTAACCATGTACTGTTCATAGTTCTACCTGTCACACAAGAAGGAGTTAAAAAGACCTTCCTGCTTTTTTAAGTGATGTTTATCTGTTGTTGTGACACCACTGACCAAAACTTGGAACAAGACAAACCATGAATATACACACACACAACACGTTTAACAAACATTAAAGCCGCTTGTCCTCCTTGGTTGCAGCCTATCCCAGCACTCATTGGGCAGAAGGCAGGAAACATCCTGGACAGGCTGCCAGTCCATCACAGGGCAGACAGACAAACATACATTCACACCTGGGGCCAATTAAGCTTTTCCAATTCACCTGACTGCATGTTTTAGACTGTGGGAGGAAAGCGGAGCACCTGGAGGGAACCCACACAGACACGGGGGTAACTTCACAACAGAAAGGGCTCCAGTCGGGGAATCGAAGGCCCTTCTTACTGTGAGGTGACAGTGCTACCCGCTTTCGTGCACTCGGTTTAATCACACACACAAAAAAAGGTGTTTTTCTCACATACATTATTTCCTCTCTGCATCGGTGGAGTAGAGAAGCTTAAGAAAGACCCTCCACCAGAGGGGGACAAAACCTTTGCAAGTCTCTCTCCCCTACAACACCCTTAAATGTGAACAATTGTGTTTTTGTTTTATTTGGAATAATTTCAAACAAAAATAAAAATGGTCGCAAAGTATTGCAAAAATGTAAAGTAAAACCAAGAGACTAAAGCAAAACGCCCATAATACATTGAAACGACATTAAACTAAGAAAATACAATAGTTATCGTATTTTTTAACAGAGAAAATTCTCACATTTGTGGGTTTCTTTGGTCTCTTGTTCAGCCATCTCGCCGGTTTTTCTTTTCTTCTGATTCCCATTTAGAGTCTCTGAAAAACCTCTGTTTGGAGGGTCATGTAGCCCAAACACTTCACCCTACCCCTCTATCTCAACAAAAATCGGGACACCCTACCACTAGAAGTGAACGCGCAAATCAGAGGGCTAAGGGCTCAGCGGCAGGGGCGAGGGGTGAAATGGGATTGGGCCTTAATATGGCAGATTTATGTGCCAAAATAGTCATTTTCACATGACTCGTTTTTCTAAACAGGCAGTTTCAGTTATGGCGCTTTTAAGACTGAGCTATGTAAAGAGGCTGTGTTCTGATTGGCTGCCCTGTAATGCACCTCATCCAGAAAGCAGTTCAGGCTGAAACACTTATAGCTTCAGCAGGAAGGGGCGGGGCTAAACTGCTGTAGGCTGAACTAGATGGATATACAGTCATATGTAAAAGTTTGGGCGCCCCTGGTCTAATGACGTTTTGTTGACTTTCGAAATGTGTAAATAAGTTACGTATCCTATACTGAGAACCTGTGGAAATGTCAATATAGGTTACCTTTAAAACTAACGTACACAACTGGACCTTAAATACCATGTTGTACCTTCAAGGGTACGTTTATGTGGTTTTTACCGTAGGGGACTTTACCTGGACAGCACCCTTTCTTCTAGGAGTGCACGGTTTCCACTCTGGTGATGTAGAGAAGCTTATCCTCCACCTCCACCAGAGGGGGACAAACACCATCACAAGTCTCATTCACTCACAACATGTGGAAAAGTGTGTTTTGCTCTGTTGTTCATAAAACATAAATATTATCACAAGTTATGACAAA